ACCTTTATCTCTCAGGAGCTCTATTGATTTTAACTGAACTCTTTGATTAGTTGGGCATTATAAAACATGAGCAAGAATGGCAAACAGTCTCTGCCTTGCTGCTTTCCACAGACGTACTATAGACCACTGCTCTATTGAAATTAGTTGTGTTATGCCAGCTTACTCCAGCTACAGAATTGACCCCCCCCCCTCCGCATAAATGAGTAATGTTAAAAACTCAATTCAACTTAAAAAAAATCAGGAACAAGACAGTGCATTAAGCTTCCATTCCATTTAATTTATCTTTTGCAGTTGAGAACTTTGCTGGTATTTCCTTTGGGTTACAGTGACTTCCACAAGGTGATTTCATTGAATAAAGAAGCTGAGTTGAAAGTGAGATTCAAGCCTTTTGGGTGGGAGGAAGCAATTTTTAATAAAAGAAATAATTCAAAAATAGGCTGGATTCAAATTTCCTGCCTGACAGAACTATTTCAGACACGATCCATTTAATGTTTTATTATAGAGTTGGAGCAATTGATTTAACACAGAAGAACAAATTATTTTGGGATGTTGATGATGAAAAACCAAGTTTCAGTTCCAAACAATAAAACACAAGCCATTGCTGAAAAAAGTTACCAGTGACCAAAAAGGAGTCTTTCCCAGAATCAGTGTTAGTTCAGAAAAATACTTCTCAACTTTTAGTTAAAGTTTTCTAAATAAAATAAAAATATGAGGTTACTTTGGAGAATGCTTTCAAACTAGAGGTTTGTAAATTAAGGAAAGTAAGTGATGGCAATGGGAGTTTTGTTATGGGGCCAAGATTTTATCTCCAAAACAGAAAATGCACTTGTTTTCTGTCCATGTCTGATCTTTCTTCATGGCACATCCTGTCACAAAATATCTAAATCTATATGGTGAGAGCGAAGTACAATATTTACAAAAATTTGTGAATATTCAGATTAATGTCTGAATGAATGTCTGTATGAATATTTGACTGTCTGATTTTGTGAAACTCTTAGAATGTTCCTAGAAACTACTACTATTTTATAAAATATTGTATAATTTAACATATGAGAATGTAGTGCTAGGTCCTAAATAGTTCCTGACCTCATTGGAGCCTCAACAATTTATACCAGCTAATGATCTAATCAATAAGCAGGTTAAACATGTTGTTTTAATGTAAATTGAATAGATGCCATTTGCAGCTCAGGAAAATATGAGCTAAACCTGTCACATCTCTTGCTGGGATCTTTTAGTGATATTCTACTGTTGCACTCTCTCTTTCACTCCCTGTCTCCATTTCTCCATTCTTGTCATGATCTTTTCACTTTTAATCTGTTTACACTCTCTAATCCCATACCCTCTTCTCTCTTCTAAGTACTCTTACAAGTACCTCTCAACAAAATCTCCATTTTACTCATGATTGTGCTATGTATTATATTCTTGACAAAAGCTGTTTAAATACAGTTTATCGATGACTTCCTTTAGAAAACCCAAACTACATTGGGACTACTCAGATGGATATGTACTGTTCAATCTGG